TTGAACAAATGTCACTTATGTTAGTCTCGCAAAAAGGTATGGATATGTTATGACTGTTTATTTTAATAGAAACCATGGAAACGAAACACACATACACTCAACACAAATGTATAAGGCCCGAGTCAAGTAAGTTCCCATCCTGTAAACTGGATCGAAACCTGCTAGACCCCTGCTAACTCCTCTTATAGTAATCAAGATCAATATATTTATATGCCATGCCTTCTAAAAGGGAATGAAGGATGACATACTATCATCATTTAAACAGGACGTTGCTGAAGGCTTACCCCTGTTATTTCGTTTGTGTATCTTGTGTGTGTGCATTCCTGTTGTGTCCCCAGTCATGTAAAAGTTTTCCTAGTCTCCTAATTTGGTTACTAGGTGGACCTTCTCCAACTAGTAGTCTAATCTATTCAATCTGTTCAGAAGCAGGAGGTACTTTTCAAACATAGCAAATAATATTATTAATAATAAACACTATTTAAAGATAAATACATTTTTGTAATTTTTTTTGTCATTGCCCCTTACCTTTCTCTTACACCACCAGGGTATACCTATTTTCCATATTCCCTTAATTATAGATTACCTTACAATGTTCGAATGAATATAACATTTTACTCATGAAAAATCTAATTTCATATTTAACTCTTTTTCAATTTAATTTCAAACAATAATTGGTACCTATATTACAATTTATTATCAAAGAAAATTTCTAATAAAGTTATAGCAAATCCTACTTAAACTACTGGTTGTTCTGCAGGATAAATTAACTTTTCTTGAGATAGATCTCTCTATAAAATCCAAAAGCGACCTGATGTCCCCAAATTTATTTTCCAATGCATCCTGATTTAAGATTCTGCCCTTTTGTGATTCAATTTTTTTTCTTCCTTTAGAGTGGCTATTAGAGGTAGGTGTATGTAAGAAATAGCTAATCTCTAATCATTTCAAAAGTCCTTTGCCAATACTACATGTGCAGATTTTTTACTCAGCATACATTTTACTTTTCTAGTAGATAGGAACTTTGTGCTGCCATTAAAGCTGTCCAGACATTCATCTACCTACTTAATGAACACAAGTAGCTGTAACAATGGATCTCTGTTCCAATTCACCTAAAATAATTATAGCCATTTTGTAATATATTATTAAACACACAAATTGTACAGTGGTTTTCTTAATAAATTGGAATTACTTACCTCTAGAAAGAAATGTGTACAAAAACGCGGGTTTGGTTCCAGAAATTGCTTCATGCAAAAAATAATATGCAAAAATAAACATTCCCCCCCAAAAGAAAATTAATTAAACAACAAAATCAGACTAAAAGAAATATACGGGGCCCAAGTTAAATTAATTTTAATAAAATGCACATGTTCATAACAACATTCATAACATTGTCAGTTGTCAGTTTTAATACTTTTAATCGATATTTCTACGTCAAAAAACCAGCAACACCAGCGCCCTCTGAAAATGGTGTTAGTTTTATTGGAGAGAGATAGACATATGTAAAGATCAATATAAAAGAAAAAGAGGGTCATATATGTAATTTAAATGGACCACCGAACATATTTTCCTATTAAGTTACACGTCTCTGTTGTCTCTGATAATATGGTGAATTCAATCGATGTCGTAGTTTGCACCAAGGCGAATTTCTTGAAGGTCATTCAAAATCGGTTGTTGTTCCGGAAACCATTGATGCGCGAACTGATATTGAAAGATCGTTATGTGACCTATCGTGAGATTGAAAGGCATTAATGGGACCTGCATACATTTTATATTGCATAAACATTTGACTGTCAAAAATTTTTTTGTCAATTTGTCAATCGTTCAAAAAAAGGCTCGTGTCGATTGGTCGAAAAAAATACGATCCCGGTGTTTTGAAACACGTCTATGACATAGTGACAGGTGACAAATTGTGGATTTACCCGTATGAGCCCGAAAGTAAACAGCAGTCGACTGTATGGGTGTTTCAATATAAGCAAAATCCAACAGAAGTTGTTCGCGCACGAAGCACTTCCAAGCAAATGGTCGCCTGTTTTTTTCGGAAAAACTGGTTTGCCAGTTGTCTTCTAAGAAATGAAGAAATCCAACCGCCGAAGACGGATCATTCTTCACCACGACATTGCGAACTCTCACACATCGGCTCAAACAACTGCATTTGTGAGCGGATTTTTTTTTTCGAAAGTACACATCCTTCAAAATTTTTATGGGTGAAGTACTGCCAATTTTTTCACTCAAAACGTCGATGTGACGAGTCATCCGCCGTATAGTCCTGACTTAGCACCGAATGACTTCTTTTTATTCTCGTACGTAAAAAATTAACTGGGAGCTCAACATTTTTCGACATCTGAAGAAGCGGTTGATGCGTTCAAAATGCATGTTTTGGAGATACCTCAATTGGTTCAAACGCATGCAGAAGTGTATAGATCTTCATGGAGAATATTTTGAACAACAATAAAGCGATTTTTGATGATTAATATTTGTTTTTCTTCACTAATCCCGAAATATAAAAGGCAATTCTTGTATTAGAAGATTTTTGTTCGCCGATAATTAGATAACGCCTCTTGGCGACGTTGTCAATTACATTAAATCTGTAGGCTGGCTCACAAACTAGGAGGTGCCTATTTGAAGATTGTGATTCATTAAAAAGGAACGCTCCGCTAAAAACCAAATTAAATAGTGTTAATTGCATGAAGAACAAAGTGTTTTTGGAATCAAAAGAACTGTAGAAAAATCTACTTTATTAAGAACATAAACTCAATACGAAAAACGAACGCATTGTGAGTAAAATTGCATTTTATTAATACATATTAGAGATTGAAACACATAATAACTAATTACACTAAGATAAAAAACTATTTGATTTATCAGTATCAGCATTCTTGCTAAATATTAAACAGTGGCGTAGGCAACAAACCGATTATTAATTTTAAAAAGTTTAAACGAAATTTAATAATCATGAATGATGAAATAAATGACATATCTAATAAGGATCTATTAAATCATATACTTACACTAATAAAAACAGAGTAAACAAATAAGAAACGAAATTAGGTTTGAAAATAATAAAACATTACAAAAAATTGATGAATGTTTGAAGAGGGTAACTCAACTCGAATTATCTCGAAGAAAAAAATCTGAGTATTGATAGATAGATAGATAGATAGATAGAACAATCCGCAAAAATAATCTTATCCTGATTGGAATTAGTATTAATGAAAATGTAGATTTAACTACGCAAGTACTGAACAAAATAAAAGAACTGCTTGGATTAGAAATATCTGCTATTGAACTAAATAATATATACGAAATACGTTTATCAAAAAGACAATATGGATTTAGGGAGGGAAGTTCAACGGAAGACGCAATAAGGGAATTAACTAATAAAATTTACTGTTTAATTAACAATAAAAAAACCATCAATATTCATCTTCTTAGACTTGGCTAAAGCTTTCGACACTGTCAATCATTGTAATTTATTAAATTCCCTTGAAGATATGGGTATAAGGGGTATAGCCAATAAATTAATGAAGTCTTACCTAATAAACAGAAAACAAAATCAAAATACAAAATATCACCAGCATCGATCAAATAGTCTCATGTGGTGTACCTCAGGGAACAGTATTGGGGCCTTTACTCTTTATAGTCTGCCTGAACAATCTCTTTTTAGTTGAAAGTAAAGCAAATATTATTAGCTTTGCAGATGACACAGTAATGCATTACGAAGCTTATGACTGAAATAATTTAAAAAAAATTGGTAGAGGAGGATTTCCCCAAAATAAAAACATGGTTTGACTGCCGATTACTATCTATAAATTTTAAAAAAACAGTTGGAACGATTTCGGCACATTTTAATTAACAGTTGCAATCAAAATGAAGAAACTTTTTTAACTCAATATTTTTTCCTTTCGAGTTATAATATGTTTGATTAGTTTTTTCTTATTCTTTTGTTTTACTGTTTCGATCAGCATATTGCGTTTTCTACCTTTTTCCTTGGCCTTTCAGCGTCCTTTTTTGTATTAGAAATTTCTCACTCAAATTACAAAATGTATGCAGAAATAACAATGACATTTAGCGCAACTTTTTTTTAAATGTCTAAGCAAATTTTCATAATTGGGTATTACATTGAAATGAATCGAATTTGTCATTTTTGATATGAAAGAAATATATAGTAAGTTATGATAATTGAAGAAATTAACAAAATTGATACATTGCCCTGTATGTTGGTTATAAAGAATCAGAAACGTATTATGTAACAACCCCTAACGTATGGTCATTACTTATATAATTTGTTTTCCTCGATGTTTTATCTTCAAGAATCATTCCAATTCCTGCGCGCCAATAATAAGATCAGCAGATTTATCTAACGAGAGCCTGCAAAGCACATCGTAAAAGTTAAACAAAAGCAAAAAAAAACTTTTATTGCCTAACGTATTTCTAATTGGACCTAACTTACAAATGTTTTTTGATTACTTTGTGTTCATTTTACTCAATTATTAACTTCGCAAAGTTGCAGAAAGCAATTTATGATCATTAAAAAGTTTACATTTATGTTGTGTTGCCTAATCTACTTAAAATATTGTGAAAACTCTGTGGTTTTATCATCAAAGCTGGTTTAAATTAAATCATACATAGTTAAAGGAATCGATATAGTGTGTGTTTTAGAGCAACAACAGCATAATATGAGCTGTAACAACTATATATGTTCGGATGATTTATGAAATGTTAAAAAAATGTATTTATATTAGTTATTAGAAAACTTTTTGTCTTGACGATCGAAAAATCTAGTTATTTATTCTCTACCTAACATAAATCTTATCGTAAGGAATTAATTTAAAATTACAAAAATATAACATATTTACTGACAAATAAATATTCCTACGGACTTATCGAATATTAATGAGTGGTACTTGTAGGGTTTGAAACTTATGCAGCGGCATATTTAGTTTATTTCTTTCGGTTAAAAATATCTTGTGCTTTTAATACTTTTTATTTATTTATTTTTTCAGATTTATTGCCTGGGCGTCGTCTAAACTATGTGGCAGCAGACATCGGTACTAACCCTCCCGCCCTGGGACTGTCTAGAGGCAAATCATCTTTGGCGGCCCACGCCATACGCGTTATGACAGAAATGAGGGATAATGGGACCGTGGCGTTCATTGGACCGGACGATACTTGTTCGTCTGAAGCATTAGTCGCAGCCGCTTGGAATTTGCCCATGATTTCATATGTAAGTTATCTACATATCCATTAAATGTAGGTTATTGACATTTGGATTCAGTGTTAAAAATATTTATAAGAAACGTGTCAATACGCTAAATTAGTGATGACGTAATTTTGATTTCATTGACAATTACAGTATTTTCTTTTTGAGTGCATTCTGTTCGTTTTGTTTACCTTTAATTAAATTGTTTTTAAACTTTTATAAATATACTTTTTTACAACTCTTAACAAAAAGACATAATTTTTAAATAGAATACCTTCAGCGAAAACGTAATTTTCGTCGCAAATGTTTATCAATTAAAACATGCCAGACTTATTTCGAAATAAATACAACAATTTTTATCATTTTTATTAGTTTCACAAAATTATGTAAAATTACCATAAGAAGCTATGTATTTCTAACAGCACTATCACCACCAGCGCCTCTGCGATGAATTGTAAAAGCTCAATTAGCGTTTGTTTTTTGGGACCGTATTTAGAGTAGTTTTCAAAAGTGTAATATAATTTTAGTTCCACTGACAGTTAATTCTAACCAAACTTTTAACAATATTCGATATGTTCTTACTTTTTACTTTTTTATTAAATATTGTTTGCAGGTCATAAAAAATAGTTTAAACGTATGTGATTCATTATTATTAAATGATTATATACTTGATGCATAATATCTACTTACTGTAGAATAGTATATTGTCTTTCGAGTGACGAAAGTAACATTTTTTGAAGCGAGAGAACATTTTACCACCCTCGGCTGCGCCTTGGCTTCAAAAAATGTTTTCAACGAGTAAAACACTATATACTTTTTCTACAACCCTGTTTATATCATAATAATATACTAAACTAGAATAAAGTTTCCGAAAATAAATTTACGTGATTGTGAACTCTCCAATCCATGAATTTTTCATATATTTTTTCATATCTCTTTTTGGATCTTACTGGTAATAAATTCAAAAAGTGTTCCTCAGCTTGATTTGCTATTTCTGGCGGTGTATTCGGAAAATCTAAAACACTTTCCGAATCAGAAATCATGATAACTTAAAAAATTAACAATGCTTTCAGTAAAAACAATTAAGCCTAAACAATTAACGAGGAACGTCAAAATAATTAATTTTACGATTCTATTTTGCTTTTTAATTATACAAAAGTAAAAAAATGCATTTTAATTATAGAAATGATTCCTGTCTTTGTTTATTAATAATTTAAAGTCGTCAAAACAAAATATACGAGGGCGGAAAATGATTAAAAATATAAATTTAACAAACGCTATGAGAATTTCTCTCACTTGCGACGGAAAAATTGATTTCCGTATTTTCTAGTATTTGTGAGAGCCTTAATTACTAAGGAAAGTCATGGTGAAAAGTACAATGACATTTTTTTATTGACCTTAAAGATTTTTTTTTGCTATTTTATAATTTTAATATTCCTTTGTATTAACGATCATATATAAAGTTGTAAAATAAAAAAAAAAAAATTGTGAACAAATATTCAATGGTTTAAAAGCCAATCGAACAGCTTGAACATTTCTAATTCCTCCTGAGCTTTTATTTTTAGTCTAATTTTTGTGAAATTTTCAGCAAATATCAATAATAATTAAACTGCTTTTTGTTTTAATAAAAATCAAGTAATTTTTAAATAGAAGGGTTTCCCACTTTTTTTTTAAATGTCTGTAGAGTGCTGCATAAATTTAAAGCTCTCAATATTCTCGAGATACATAACAACACAACATCAATTTCAGTTTGACAATAGGACAATTGATACTAACTTCAAAGAGCTCTAGCTCCATTATGAAATATTTTTGGATTGAAATAATTTAGGTTAAATTGTCATAGACTAACTGGGATTTGGGATTCTCTTATAAAATCTTAATGACTAGAAAATCTCAGCTGAAAACAATTTCTAAACAGGCCCTATAAAGGATTTGTTTACAACAGAGTTCACACAATTGAGACATAACATAAACATTGCATGTATTAGACAAAGCGAAAAGTTTGCCCAGTGAAGCCCGCTTTTCGTTGTCTGATTTACGTAGGAGATCAATTTACATAACTATACCATTGACTCGTGCATATGTTTTGATTTGCGATCACTCTTTCGCTCGTTCTCATAAATTTTTGTTCATAAACTCCAATCAAAATTCAAATCATCCTTTTCAGCAGTAACTCTAAAGCGGAAGGATGAAACAACGTGTTGATGTGGAGGTGCGTAGGTACGCGTGGGATTGTATACAAATTGTTAATTAGACTCGAAAAATAGATTCTCCTTATTTGTCGTTGTGATGGCTTGTGTATTATCAATTTGAAGTTGGTTTAGTTGACAACAACTTTATTTCTTAAAAAAGGAAAATCCCTTGACTTTAAAGTTAACATTAAGGCTGTTCTATCGCTTTCCGTTCGGTCGAAGTTGAGAGGTACCTCATCCATTTCATAGAATATCTCTGTACGCAACTCCTTTCTTTGTTTGTGTAAAGACAATTGTACGTGTAATAATTCTCTTATTTCTCAGGTCAGTCTCTTTCTCGGTATTCAACTCCACATGAAACGCCATGATGGCCAAATTTGTCTGTATATTGTAACAACTGTTGTGTTGATAGTTATTTCTCTGCAGATAATATTTTTATTTACTTACCTATGAAACGACGTGGAACTTCTCTAAATATATATTTTAGAGCTTAACAACCATTGCATAATTCGATCATGTATTGGGATAGACACGCCTTGTTTACATAAATAAGGTCCATAATCGCATGCACAACAAACGATGGTACCAGCCAGGGGCGTTCGGTCCATGGAAGCGGGCGAAGCACCGCTTCCCTACACTTTGAAATTTAAAAATAAATATTTTTCAGTTTACAATGCATAGAAATTAATATTAAATTAGGTACTATATTTTCTCTGAAACATTACGTAAACTTCGTAAATATACTAACAATTCATTGGTGTAACGAGTAAACGCACGCACCACCCATGAAAAAATAAATTAATTGTGTAAACGTACATACGAGTCCGTCGACGGAAGCGCGTCTAGAATAGCCGGTTCATCTTTCAAGTGATTTCGCTTAGTGTTATTGACCCTGGTTTGCTACGCCAGTGTCAGTCTGTTTGGACACGTGAAATACGGTCGAGAGGCAGCGATTATTACGTCGCCTTACGCATATTGCAATTCACACTGCGAATCGACGTGTGAGGAAAATATTAGATTTTAGGTAGATTTCGGTTTGTTTTTGTAGTTGTTTTTCTTTTTGTAAAATGGAGGAACTATGCACTGTGTCTGTAAACAATAATAATGTGGTAAATTGTGTCTGTATTGTGTGCTCTTTATTGAAAAAAGGATTTTCAAGTGGAAATTTTAAAGAGAAAACGGACATTATTAATTCTAATAGACTAAAGGATCCTGTCAATTTAGAGACGAAAGTAGAAAAATTAGCAAAGAAATTTACCAGTCATTTTCACGTAGAGTTGTATGAAAAGTATGAATGGTTAACCGGCTGCAAAACTTTGAAGAAATTGTTTTGCTGGCCTTACCTACTTTGCGTGTGGGTGTGGGTGTGGGTGTGGGTGTGGGTGTGGGTGTGGGTGTGGGTGTGGGTGTGGGTGTGGGTGTGGGTGTGGGTGTGGGTGTGGGTGTGCGTGTGCGTGTGCGTGTGCGTGTGCGTGTGCGTGTGCGTGTGCGTGTGCGTGTGCGTGTGGTGTGTGTGGTGTGTGTGTGGTGTGTGTGGTGTGTGTGGTGTGTGTGGTGTGTGTGGTGTGTGTGGTGTGTGTGGTGTGTGTGGTGTGTGTGGTGTGTGTGGTGTGTGTGGTCTGTGTGGTGTGTGTGGTCTGTGTGGTGTGTGTGATGTGTGTGGTGTGTGTGGTGTGTGTGGTGTGTGTGGTGTGTGTGGTGTGTGTGGTGTGTGTTGTGTGTGTTGTGTGTGTGGTTTGTGTGGTGTGTGTGGTGTGTGTGGTGTGTGTGGTGTGTGTGGTGTTTGTGGTGTGTGTGGTGTGTGTGGTGTGTGTGGTGTGTGTGGTGTGTGTGGTGTGTGTGGTGTGTGTGGTGTGTGTGGTGTGTTGTGTGTTGTGTGTTGTGTGTTGTGTGTTGTGTGTTGTGTGTTGTGTGTTGTGTATTGTGTATTGTGTATTGTGTATTGTGTGTTGTGTGTTGTGTGTTGTGTGTTGTGTGTTGTGTGTTGTGTGTTGTGTGTTGTGTGTTGTGTGTTGTGTGTTGTGTGTTGTGTGTTGTGTGTTGTGTGTTGTGTGTTGTGTGTTGTGTGTTGTGTGTTGTGTGTTGTGTGTTGTGTGTTGTGTGTTGTGTGTTGTGTGTTGTGTGTTGTGTGTTGTGTGTTGTGTGTTGTGTGTTGTGTGTTGTGTGTTGTGTGTTGTGTGTTGTGTGTTGTGTGTTGTGTGTTGTGTGTTGTGTGTTGTGTGTTGTGTGTTGTGTGTTGTGTGTTGTGTGTTGTGTGTTGTGTGTTGTGTGTTGTGTGTTGTGTGTTGTGTGTTGTGTGTTGTGTGTTGTGTGTTGTGTGTTGTGTGTTGTGTGTTGTGTGTTGTGTGTTGTGTGTTGTGTGTTGTGTGTTGTGTGTTGTGTGTTGTGTGTTGTGTGTTGTGTGTTGTGTGTTGTGTGTTGTGTGTTGTGTGTTGTGTGTTGTGTGTTGTGTGTTGTGTGTTGTGTGTTGTGTGTTGTGTGTTGTGTGTTGTGTGTTGTGTGTTGTGTGTTGTGTGTTGTGTGTTGTGTGTTGTGTGTTGTGTGTTGTGTGTTGTGTGTTGTGTGTTGTGTGTTGTGTGTTGTGTGTTGTGTGTGTGTATGTGTCCACCATAACTCATGAACCAATACACAGAAAAATACCAAATTTTAAATTTAAGCTTTGTTCCAGCGTCCAATGAGCTGATTAGATTTTGGGCATAGTCGGAACATCTGGGGGGGTACTTTATAGGTGGTCATTTTTATATTTTACGGAATATATCTGTTATTTACGTTTATGGAAGAAAATTCTTCAATTCTTCCTTTATTATTATCTATAATTTTTGTTCTATACAA